CACTCCTTTACACAGTGCTAGGGATTCAAACTGTCGACCTTTCTGATCGACAAGCTTAGCATATTAGCCACTGAGCCCCCGCATCCCCAATACAGAATCTGTATTACTTAGCAAATTAAATACCCAGATAACACGAGGTTTATTAAGCAGTAAGAAATGTAAGGAATAGAAAATTAATACAATTTATTTTTTTAAGTTGCCAAGGTTGAGAAAATGTGTTCTACCTGTTTTTAAGAACCAGAGTCTTCTGGCTCAGCATGTTTCACGAAAGAATCAGACATGATGCTTTTCTTTTTTTTCTTTTTCCCCTTCCCTCTTTCAGAATTTTTTTCCAAGCTCAACGCTGCCGCCTGCTTTCTCTCGCTGAACAGCAGTATGATCGAACTTGTACACTACACCCGTCATGGATTGCAATGGCTGAGACTGGAATCGAACATGCCTTAATGGGTGACTCAAGGTGAAGATTTTTGCCTTGGATTCTTTTGCACTTTGAAAGCCTCCGAAACGTAGCCTTGAATGGGGCTGACTGGTTGGATTTGAAAAAAAGAGAAGAAGGAGAAAAAGAAAAAAAAAGCACATGGAACAAGTTTGGAATTAAGCATGATTGAAGGGATCTGGCACCACTGGAAAACTTTTATTAGAGATTGCATTCCTACTATGCCAATGGGCCACTGAGAAGATAAAGAGAGTGAAGAAGAGGCCTCAAAGTAGAAGAAGATGCCTTTCTTTCAAAGGACAAAGTGCAATTGTCTCCTTTCTCTACCCCTGCCCCCCCACTTCCCTTCCCTCCCTCCCCATTCCCATCATGGTTTCTTTGTCTCAATGGTCTATAAACATTTCTCATAATGAATAACCAGCAAGATAATCGATCAGTCAGCACACACGAAGAAGCACCGTCGAAATCCATTTCCCAAAGAATTTTCTACAGCATCTAAGGATGCGCTGATATCCAGAGGGTCTAGTGCGTAATGATGAATTTTATTATTTTATTTTTAAGTATAAATAACCAACTCATCTCAGTTCTGGCAGGTGGAAGGAAGCAATTCTTCAGCCATAAATTGAATTTTCTGTTCACACTAAAAAAGCCGTCTTCCTGCCCCTCTCGCTTCTCCATGTGCTACGAGTGGCCAATTGTTGCACTATTTCTTCTGTTCTCCTGACCTATAGCAGGCCTATCCCATGGGTTTTTCTTCTTCCTAGTTTGCTTTTCTTATTTTCTTTCTTTCTTTCTTTCTTTCTTTCTTTCTTTCTTTCTTTCTTTCTTTCTTTCTTTCTTCTTTTTCTTCTCTTTGTAGGAGCAGTTGTAGCAGTTTTCAGCTATCCTGGGTGGTAGTTCATGATTCTGCACTTGGCACGTTGACAATCTCGCGAGGCGGCCTACCGTGTCGGATTCACGTTTGAGCAAAACACCCAGTAGATGCGATGTTGATTCCTAACGCCCCTCTCTAAATTAGGGATATGGTTTCCGGTTCATCCCTGGAGTAGCTGTGATAAAAATACCTTACTAAGGGGAATGGGTGTTGCCATCACTGCTGTTAAAGATGCTACTCCATTAGATCTGAGTAGCTCCACGCAGAGAGTAGCAAGCCAAGGAGGGGGGGAATTCCCTAGCACCAAATAAAAGGAGTGGCATTTGAAGAGGCCTCTTATACTTTTGTAAAATGTGTTGGGAGATATTTAAAAGATCTTTGAGAGGGGAGGAACTTTGAAGGGTGCCCTTTTCAGTTCACCTTCCCTAACATGGTAGGTTCAGATAGTGCCTTGGTTGCTACACAATTTTTCATTCGTGCTGGCTAGGACACTGATTGGCTCCTTTTCCTTATGATCCTTTTCCTTTTCAGAGGATTCTCTTTCCTCCGTTGTAAGATACTTTGCTTCCGTCTCCCTGGAAAACCCTTGATTCTTCAATGCAAGTACGGATAGTTCTCTCTGGTCCACAGACATCTCTCTGCTTCTTTTATTAATTTATAAAAATCACCGTGAATGAGCCTGCTTTTATTTGTTTCCCATAACCTGTCGAGCATAAGAAACACAAGGATTCTGGTTTCATCTAAAATATGTATTTTACCCCCTCTTTTCAGCCGTGCTTTTAATTCTCCCATTTGCATCTGCTATCGCTTGAGTTAAGCAGGCCACTCGGAGAGCGAATATCTTCCAGATAAATGATTCTTAAGTGCGATTATTATTATTATTTTCTTCTGGGCTGATTCTCAGAGTCAAAAAGTTGTATATTTGCTGTAAAGGCAGACAATGATTTTTTTCTGGAGTTAATGTAGAGCATTTCTTATTTTTACCATAGATTTATTTCCTTACCAACACTAGTAATAAACCTCATGGTTCCACCTTTTGAAGATAGACTCATTGTAGAGAATCTTACTGATTCTTTCAGGGCAGATTTGATTTGGGGATAATGCAGTCCCCACAAGGGGGAGGGGATTAAAAAAACAAGGGAACATAAAGATTTCCAGAAATACCCTACTTTTACTTAGAGAAACATCCCCCCCCCTTTCCAAGTGTTTAAATCCAAGTTATTTAATTTTGAAGAAGACGAGGTGGAGACCTTGAAACCTTCCGAATCGGTGCAAGATGCATTGATGGGTAATAGGAATCTTGCATTGCCTGCATTTTCAAATTGCAACTGTAGAAAGATGGGGAAGAGCAACATCCTGATTGCTGTTGGGCGGAGAGCAGAAGTTGTAGGCCCTGCCCACTTTCCCAATGCTTCCTGTACTGCAGTCATCAGCCACCTTTTGGGGGTACCTAATACTCCGATTCCTGATCTGCCGAGACCTCCTGTCAGTAAGATGTTGCTTGAGGTTACTGACAGATTGGCTGAGAATTTGGAGATTGTGTCAGGTTTTGGGGGAATTCTGGGGCACCTCCCAGTCCAACATATTAGTCTCCGTGAGCACTACATTCTATTTATACAGGGACATCACAGGTTCTCGATCGGAAATATTTGAACTCCCAACATTGCTGCAGTGATATCTCAGGAAATGGGGGGGGGTGTTGTTGGGACGGGACGCGCGTCAAAAGATGAGGTTTTAAAAGCAACTGGATCAGTACCTGCTTTTCCCCAGGGAAGGATTTGGTCTGAGTATGGGAAAGTGGGCTGCTTGTACTGGCTGTCTTATCACACTAAACGGATACGAAAACTCTTAGCATGGATGGGAAACGGAGGAGTGTTCCTACCTGTGTTTTGTCTCCCTATTTGCAAACCGCATAACCCTCCCTTTTCCCCATCAGTCTTTGTAGACTCAGGATCAAAATTTCCCGCTAGCTCCTTCTCTCTCTCTCTCTCTTTCTTTCTCCCTCTCTCTCCCGAATAACCCCGGAACCAGCTTTGCTGCTGTTTTTGCTTTCGGATCTATATTCTGATATAAAGAATCCTCAGTTGTTAAGGGGCCCCATTTCAGCCCACTCTCTTTGAGCACTTTATTCCAAAAGTACGTTCAATCCCAGAATCTCCCAGGTGAGATTCAGATGACTAATCTCTCTTGTGAAAAAAGAAACGAAAAGACTGCGGTGCATTTGTGCGACTGGTTTTATATGTTCATAAAATGGTAGCGGGGGAAAAAAAAAAAGCAATAGAGGTTTCATTTCATGAAAATAAAATAAAAAGTTTGGTTTGGTTCAGAAAAGGCTGTGTAGAACCTCTTCCGGAATCAAAGGGGAGGAAAAGCTTCTCAGTTTTCCAGAGAAGTAATTCTCCAATTTGAAAAGCTTTTGTGTTCTGTGATTCCCCCCCCCCCCAAACCCCTTGTTTGTTTTAATTTACACGGAATTGCAGAGAAAAAGTCCATTTGTGGGGATCAGGTTTAAGATCCTTATGGTTTTAATTTTTTTTTCTCTCTCTCAAAAGACCAATTTAATGAATGAGCAGACTCCCATTTCATCCCTACTCTAAATTCTGTTTCCCAGTTCTACATGGATGTTTCATGAATTTTACCCAGAGTCAAGCTTTCAGTTCTCCATCCAAGGAGCAGGAAATAAATGTTTTTCCCATTTTTAAACACAGGTCTATGAAGCTGCAGGCTGAAAGCAGCTCTCTTCCCAGATATTTATTTAGAATTATAATTAATGTATTTAAAATTGTTCTTATATATCTAAGATAACCATAATTTAATAATTTGCAAGTTCCATTGACACTGGAGATGCGGACTGAACATTATTAGGTTGATGACAATTTTATTTTTAAAGGGCAATTTCTCTTCTTAACTATCCTTTTTTTAAAAATAAAGAAACCATGGGAACAGAGTGGAAAAAAAAATCTGTACATTTAAATTTATTATGGGATGTTGTGTCTCCATCTTGTAAATATTTTCTGCCCTGTATATTGGTGGTATTTCCAGATTGATTTGTTTAAATTCTGTGGGGTAATAAATAAATATTAAATGAAGCAGCATCTTTTGTGTCAGTTGTTCTGATCATTAATCATTAACAAGGGTATTTCCTATTCTTTCTTTTTTTTTTTGTCTGCTGAACAAAGCTCCGCATTGGCGTCAGGAAGGGCATCCGGCCAGTAAACACTCTGCTAGCTCCATTCAATTGCCCAGACTCCACTCCGCTTGGGATTATGGGGTCGTTAAATGATTATTCTTGATTACAGATAATCTTAAATTTATGATGGTCATAAAGTGTCTAATAACATAACTGACCCTATTTCATGATCTTTTTTGCAGCAGTCATGAAGTGAATCGCCACAGTTGATAAACATGCGTGGTCATTAAGCGAACCCATGGTTTGCTTTGTGGCGTTTATTTTTGGCCAAACCTCAGAAATAAAGGTGGACTTCCGTCAAAAATACCATAATTTTTTCATGTATCAATCTTTTCCAGCCTATTATATAGCAGGATTTGGAGTACAGTCTTTCCAGCTATCCTAGATTTTAAAAAATGTACTATTCCCACCTCTTCCCAAATAGTCTCTTTTTAGAGACTTGTATTATTAGCATGTTTTACTCCTAGACTCAATCTGCTCTTCCAATCTTAAGTGCCTCACGTGGCAAAAGGAATCCCATCAATTCAATGGAACCTCAAGAGAAATCAGCAGATTTTATGTTGGATACCAACTATATGTGTGAGTTTCACAGTCTCTTGCAAAGGTTCCTGCTCTACTACAGCATATGTATAAATCATGCAGCTACTCTGGATTTAACACATACATTCTTCCTTAGAACACTAGGCTGGTGCTCCGATTGTTTTAAATAAATGGTTCAATGCTAGTATGGAAGTCCTATCTGTCTATGTTACTGAGCTAATGAGCAAGCCTATGGCAAGTTTTTAAATCAGACGAAGCCAAACTTTAGAGCAGCTTTCCATTTTAAAAGTCTCATGGCTCAAGATAAAAATTTCACAGAACAAATTTGTCTGATGCTACTGCTCTATTAGAATGGTAAATGTGGCTCTTTGACGCCCTCTTTTGGAAACAGCTGCTTAATACAATTTGATAGGCAAGAATTTTTGAAGGTTGTCTATGAAAAAATTTAGGCGCACAAAATGAGAGTGGCTAACCAGATTTCTCAAGCAATTCCTCTTTTTTCTACTCATAAGTTTCCAGTCTAATACACACACACACGCACACACAATTCATGGAAGATCCCAATTTTTTTCAAAAGGTAACGTCTTTGTTTTTCCTCGAAGACATTACGTTTCTCATCTAAGCTGCTGCTTTAGTTCATAAAATTACTTTGAAGAACAGAACTGAAGAAGCTTCTTGGATGAGACGTGAATCCCCTTCAAGGAAAAACAAAGGCCAGTTGCCTTTTGAAAAAACACTTTTGGGATAACTCACCTGAGAATCTCCACATTCACAGAAAATGCTTTTATCTTCCTGTTGTATCTAAACATACTAATCCTCTTCTACAAATGGAAAATTTGGATCCACTAGAAAAAGATAACAGTAATCAAGACAATCGTTTAAGTCCATGTAATACCTAACTTTTCCACAAAGGTGTACCATACAGATGGGTTGAAATACAGTGTTAACACCATAGCATCTTCAGCAAGAATAATGGCTGTTGTTATCCATACATCTCTATGCCACAAGATTAGATTTTCAAAAATCAAGGCTGCCGTTTCACTACTGGCATTAAATTGAGCCCACAAGCGCCACATCAAAACTTATCACTCATCTAGCAATTCAATCTTTTTCAACCAAAATGGGTTGACCTCTCTGCACATTTATAGGGCTGTCCTGTAAATAAATAGAAAAGATTTTAAAAAACCAATTTCTTGTCAGGTGTACCAGCTCTCCCGTCACCTTACTTTTTGCACAATACATCTGGGAAAGAGAAAGGGCATTTTTCATTTTAGGAAAGCAATCGGGGAGAACAAATGACTTCGCCAATGACGTTTAGCAGAAAAGTTGAAAAAAAAAAAGATTTTCAGAATGTTCAAGAGAAGAAAAATGCATTGTGGAACAGGGCATAGGATGGTGGCTCTCCTATGGGGCCGAGGGAATGCAGCTGTACCCTACAAGATGAAATTCATGAGAGCCAATGACACACTACTACAAGAATGGGAACCAATACATGCTAAACAGGTCCAACAACTCATGATGCTTGGCTAGCAGCCAGGAGCATTAAACCAGGCATGTATCACAATAGTTCCAAGATTTTGCAACCCCCAATGACAATTAGCCTTTTCTGAAAATCCATCTTGGCACAAATACTGAGAATAGTTACAGATATGCCACACTGACTTTGAGAATTTAGAAAGGACACTCAAGATCAGAGATCCAGAAAGAAAATACTAGAAGCAAAGACAAGCTATAGGGTTTTTTTTTTGGAACCCTGGTTTGAGTTAATCTTGATTTTAGTTTCTAAAATTTCTAAAAACCCAGGTAGCCATTGGTGCTTTTGTCCATTGACTCATGGAAGACATGGTTTCCCTCCAAAAAATGTCTTGCATAGTACAATAGTAGTAGATGTGTACCGTATTTTTTGGAATATAAGATGCACCTTTTTTCCTCAAAAAGGCTGAAAACCTGAGTGCGTCTTATACCCCGAATACAGCATTTTTTTGCCTCCCAAAACCCGCTCCCTTCACCAAAATGGCCGTGCATAGCCTTATGGAGGCTTTCAGAGAGCTCCTGGGGGCTGGGGAAGGCAGAAATGAGCAAAAAATGGGCCGTTTTTTGCCCCCCCAGCAGCACTTTATAAGCCTCCATAAGGCTATGTATGCAATTTTTTTGACAAAAACCAGCCCCATTTTTGCGAAAAATGAGCCTTTTCTGCTCGTTCCCCCCCCCCCCAGGAGTACTCTGCAAGCCCCAAGGCTATTCATACCTTTTTTTGGAAAAAAAAATGGGGCCGTTTTCGTGAAAAATGGGCTGGTTTTGGGAGGTTTGCAGAGTGCAAAAACTTTTTTTTTCCTTTTGGAAAGCTCTTTAACTGATTGATGAGAATTACATTGATCAAGTGCTGTGCCAGCTGAAACACCTGTCTACTGTATTTATCGCTCTCTCTATCCCTCTACCTACATACCTACTCTCGCTCTATCCCTTTATCTACCTACCTACCTCACTACTTTCTCTCTCCCCCTATCTGCCCACTGTATTTCTCTTTCTTTCTCTCCCTATCTACCTACCTTTTTTTTTTTATTTGCCTCTTCAAAACCTTGGTGTGTCTTATACTCCGGTGCGTCTTATACTCCGAAAAATATGGTACTTTATAGAGGTCTTTGTGGGGTCTTAGTGAATTCTTCTAATGTATAAGCATTTCAGAAGGTGTACCTGAGAAAACTACAAAATAAGATTGATAGTCGTTACATTCCGGAATACTTTGTAAGGTAATGACTGAAATGAAATCACTCATCAAATTTTCTATGAAGATAAAGGGACGTATTTTAAGCCTCCATTGAATGACATCTATTTTTGTTGAACACTTCAATATTTTTTCAAGTTTTTATTGTAAGTAAATATTTTAAAACTTCCACAGCACTCAGATTTTCATACAAAAAAATATCCTAGTATATTTACATATATTGCTTTAAACATTCAGAAGTCTTTGTACAATAGTAAAGGAGGCTGAAAGCATTTCACAATCATAGCAGGCTTCAACCCAAATTCACATGCAGTCCACCACATTGCTGGAACCTTGACCCATATCACGAATTTGACTGCTTAGGCAAGCGCACACAGCAACTCCTGCCCCAGCTCTGCAGTGAGACACGGAGCCCACCAGCTCCCATCTAAAGAAAAAAAGAAAAGAAAAAAGAAATGCAAGTCAAGTTTTGTGCTTTTTCCTGATCTTAATGTGAAAAAAGTTAGCCTGCAGGCTAAACACATCTCAATCTCGTGTACCAATTCAATTTTAAAATACTTTTATTTTGGTGTCTATTTAAATATTTAAGTTGAAATTAAACACACGAAGAAAAGTTTGCTGAAGATGGAACAGTAAGGATCATTTGAAACCAAGATTGGAAATCACACAAATGCTAAGCCATGTCAGCAAAACGGTGAACTATTGTGAAACCGTGGCTCATAAATGATGCCATAGCTTCTTTTATAACAGAGATGCACCCAACAAACTACAATTAAATAAATTTTTCAGGCCTGCAGCCATATTCCTTTTGGATCTTTGGCCTGCCACACTTCATCTTTTGTCTCTGCACCTGACCAGAACTGGATGGGTGGAACTGCCAGCATGGCAGTGAAAGATTGGATCATGTGATGGGCTGGTGGGTGTGGGGCAGGTTCATGAACTTTCAACTGGGTGGGGAAAACCGGGAAGCTTTCAGATTTGGGTTTTCCCAGATGTGCCAACGTGGCTCTCTTAATAAATTGGAATTTTGAGCAGTACTTTGCCTTGGGCTCTGATTTAATTTTGGATGCTATTTGGAACCCTGACAATTATGATGTCAGGCTTGGAAGCCATCTTTTACCGTGGGCCTCAAGCCTGCACATATTCTGCTGTGGGAAACTGGGAGTGGGGATTGTATGGAGCATGGGAGATATGTAGTCAACATAACATTCCTTCTTAGAGAGTCAAAGTCATTTGCCTTAGAACCTGGAGAGGCCTCACTGGAAGGAATCTCCTTGTGGGACAGTGACTGATTGGACCATGTGATGGACATGTGGGTTCTGGGGCAGGGTCTTGAACTTTCAACTGGGTGGGGAAAATCTGGAAGCTTTCAGATTCGGGTTTTCCCAGATGTGCCAACGTGGCTTCTCTAATAAATTGGAACTTTGAGGAACCTCTAGCCTCAGAGTCTTATTTGATTGAGAATGCTATTTGGAACCCTGACATATGATTCATAACAACATATGATTTCAATCACTGGATGGATTTCATACTGCACTATGGTTTGAATCACAATGGCTGAATTAACATAGCAAACTAAGCCAAAATGAGATCCAAAAATCACATTATGAGATGACATAATGGATGAACCAAACTGTATAAAAATAATCAGTAATAAAAGAGATTCAAACAGATAAAAGTGCCAAATTTAAAACTTTTGTACACATTCTCCCTTAATATATAAACTGTTGAAAACACATTAACAATTCAGCTTTTGCTACAAACTTAATCCTGAAGAAAAGTGAGGCAGGAGGCCAATCCGCACCTTAATGTTGCCTCTCTCCTAGAGCAAGTGCTTGCTTAAAAATCCTCAAGACTCCACATTCAAGGAGACTTGATCTTCTCAAGATTGATTCATGGCACAAAATGTAGAGATGTATGTAGAGTCAAAAAAACTGCTTAATGAGTAGTGTAAAAACATGAAAATTATATATTAAAACTGACTATACCAAAGTCTTCCTACTTTTAATCAGCCAACTAAGAAGTGAACAAGCCAAAAAAGCTGTGAAAAATCACCCAGTGAGACCTGACAAAATGTAAAGAGTACGGAGTAGCTTCCTTACAAATGGTTAAAGTAGCTGAATTGTTTGCCATATAGAGCTTTGCATGTGCTCTTCCACATTGTGAAGCATTACTTTCAAACGCTTGGAGTACAAAGAGGGCTTCCAATTACCTGTTTGCTACTGGATCAAAGGTTTCCACTGTGTTCAGGTAAGCATTCCCATTGTGTCCTCCAACAGCAAAAATTTTGCCCATTAATGTTGCTATGCCAACTCCCCCTCTAGGAGTTGTTAGTTCTGCTACGTATTCCCACTTATTAGTGCGAGGGTCAAATCTCTCAACCGAGCTAAGTGGAGAATTGTCGTCAAAACCACCTGCACAAGAACAGACAGACAGGTACATGACTCTTGGTAGTTAATGGCTTTATAGCCCCACAATATAGGAAGCATACAGTGATGGGCTCCGGATCCTGTCACAACCGGTACGCTGTGCATGGGGCCGGGTGTCCTAGTTGGGCACGCATGTTGCACACCCCACCGCCCTGTGACACCCAGCTGCTCGGCAGAGGTTGTGCAAGTACCGCCCGCGCATGCACAATTGGCCGGTCGCATTATAAACAGCTATGGAACGCGGGTGGGTGGGTGGGCAAAACAAGCCACCGTACCGGTATGGTAGCCGCTGCTCCCAGCTACTACTGGTATGGCTATACCGGGCCATACCACCTGGAACCCACCACTGGAAGCATACCATACATTCTGTTATTCAAACATCGTATCAAAATGCAATAGATCTACTAAGAGAATTCTTCACCCAAGCAATGATAGGTTTATTGTAAAAGATGGATTGCCTATCACAATTATTTCCACCCCAAGGAAAACTATTACTTTAGCCTACTATTTACAAATTAACATTACCAAGTATAATAATGTTACATGCATGTAAGCAGAGAGGAGGGGAACTGACTAGCAAGTAACTAGTTTGTTGACTAGTCAAAACTAACTCTCTAAAGGTGAAGTAATCTGATGAAGATTCTTCTCCTCACTCCCTTGAGCATGCAGGGATTGGGTCTGAAAACCAAAACAGACTCTTGTAACTTAACTGGCCAAACTAAGTCCTCAGCGTAACTCAACATGCCATGTCCTATCTGCTTGTCCAGCCCCCACACCTGCTCCTTCATTGGTCAGAGTTCACAGACATTCATACTTAACAGAATAACAGAGTTGGAAGGGACGTTGGAGGCCTCCTTAGCCCTTGCTCAACAGGAGACCCTATACCACTTTAGACAAGTAGTTGTCCAATCTGTTCTTACAAACCTCCAGTGATGGACCACCCACTACTTCTGAAGACAAGCTGTGCCACTGATCAACTGTTCTAACTATCAGGAAACTTCTCCTTAGTTCTAGGTTGGTTCTCTCCTTGACTGGTTTCCATTCATTGCTTCTTGTTCTGCCTTCAGGTGCTTTGGAGATTAGGTTGACCCTCCCCCCTCCCCTTCTTTGGGGCAGCTCCTTAGATATTGGCTGTAATGTAACAGAAAACCGGTGTCTTCTCTTCACCATAATCTGCTTCTATTATTGAAGTTCAAGCAAAGCTATGAGAATATAAGGGGATCAAAAGTGAGAAAGGGCTGAATGTTACTCACCTACCACATATAAACAGCCATGAAGTTCACTAACCCCATTGCCAGCTCTCCGCTGACCCATTTCTTTCACTTCTATCCACTTATCAAGATAAGGATCATATTTCTCCACACTAGACAGAGAAGCTACACCATCATTCCCACCAACGGCATATACATTATTCTGAAATGAGAAAAAAAGGAAGATTCTATAAATTCGTGTGTGTGTGTAAACAAACCCATACTTTATCTTAAAACACATGTATTAATTTACCTTTGTCAGCCTAAGTTTAACTATCTCACATTGAATTGTAAAAATAATGAAACAATAAAAATTGCAATCCAACTGGATAAACTGAAACTTAGTGCGAAATTCTGAAAAATATTGAACTGTCTTAGGTGTTTATACTACTACATTGCTGTATTTCTCTCACCTGTTCCATTCCACATCTCATTTACTACTGGAAAATAGCCTTTGAACTGAATCTAGTTATAACTGAAGGACACCATAAGATCTTACTATTTCGGCTGTGGCAGGCAATGTTTGCTGTCCATTTCAAGGCTGCACAAGGGACTCACCAGAAGAGCTACAGAGCCAACTCCTCCGCGAGGGGTGTTCATAGAGGCAACGCCGCTCCACTGGTCGGATTCCATGTCGTATCTCTCCACCTCACTGAAGCAAGTGTTATCATCTAAGCCTCCGATGGCATAAATGGGGCCTCCAAGAGAGGCCAGAGCAATTCCTCTCCTAGCAAAAATGCAGACTGTCACTTATCCAACTATATTTAAAAATAAAGCAGCAAATGTACTCATAAGGTATATTTTTGCACTTGTGTCAGAAGCCCTGAGGTACTTCTGGGCTGAAAGGATTAGCCGCTGACATCATTGTTGCCCTGGGGACACTCAGCTGGGGGCTCATTTCATGTCCCCAGCAGGAGCTGGAGTGGAGGACAAGAGCTCAACCCCGCCCCAGGGCAGTTCTTGGGTCTTGAACGTTAACCTCCTGCCCGGTTCCAACCACTTGAGCCATTGTTCCTTATAAGGTATATGTAGTTTTATCTTTAATTCACTTGGGTAACAAAGGTCAACATGTAAGAAAACCCAAATTTTATTTATAGTTTACCAAAAAGGAAAATAAAATATGTACTGTATTTTTCAGAATATAAGCCGCACTGGAGTATAAAACACACCAAGATTTTGAAGAGGCAAATTTAAAAAAAAGCTTTTGCACTCTGCAGATCTCCCCAAAATTTTTTTTCGCAAAAATGGGCCCTTTTTTTTAATCAAAAAAAGGGCATACAAAGCTTGTAGAGTGCTCCTGGTGGGTGGGGGTGGGGNCCCCCCACTCTCTTAACATGGGCATGATGGAGGAATCTCTTATTTGTGCAAAAATTCTTGGTACATGTACATTTTCATCCTACAAGTTCATTCAATGGTATATTTCATGCCAGCTAAGTGAACTTGCCTAGGTACTAAATTTCTAATAATTATACATCCTTAAATTAAACAGAAAGTGATTTTTCTTCATTTGTGTTCATACCCATCATTATACAGAGCCATTGCAAGATTCAACAAGTATTCACTGTCCTATTATAAGATTTCTAGCAACTTTTCAATAAAAAGAGCAATGTAAATGCTGGAAATCCATTCCCAGTCAGTCAGTGGAAACACAAGTGATGAAAAGCAAATACCTCTTCTAGTACTTCCCAAAATACATGGGACATTCCATACAGAAACTCAAAATTATATAGAAAACTATAAATCCCTACCTTTAGCGTCACGTCGCAAAGCTCCCCAGCTTCGTAGAAATGGAGGAGAGAGCTGTGAAAATCCTTCCAAGCTTCATTTGCTTCAAATACAAATGTGTCGTCTTCCCCATCACAGCTCAAAGGTGTCCTTTCCTGCTTTTGATGTCTTTTTCCGGTCACCGTATGTTTTCCTTGCTCTGGTACCATTGATTCAGAAGCCATTAGCTGTTTATCTGTTTCCAAGTGTACTTTTAGTCTCCATGAAAAGACCCAGCACACATCCTGTTATGCGCACCAGCGGACATCCATTTGGGTATAGCCAATATCTTCTGATTTAAAAAGAAAACATAAAATACAGTATTTATCTCAATGGTATGCCTGAAACACATATTTCCACAAATACTTTGCCAGCTACTCTTCTGCTTCTTTGAACAGATCAATGCAAATAAATGGAGAATCAAGAAAGGGGCTTATAGGTTTTGACTGGAACTAAAATTAGTATATTTTGAAAAGAGACAATCAAGGAAGGTGAAATCATGCACTCTCTTCGACATTTAGAAGAAGCTCATGATGCATATTTTCTGTATATGCTGACAAAGGACACGTGATGTTCTGCAGGTTTATTTAGTATAGCATGAAGAATCACTGAAAATTGGCAATCTTTCTACTGAACAAGAAGTAGATCATGTCACACTGAAATTTGGGGGGGCATTTTATTGAACTCAGAGTCAAAACTGTAGGACACTCTTTTTTTCTAGATGCAAACAGTTTTCTGTACCGACACATGAACACAATTTAGTCAAAATTCAGCGTAAATGAAGAACTGTGAATCAAAATGGTAATTATTGCTGAGAAGAGATTAGATATGTTTTTACCACAGATATGTAAATTTACTCTTTTACTATTTAAGCGGATTATAACTTTAAACAAAAATGCTTGAAACCTTTTCAGTTCAATGCCCAGGTGAAGTCATCAGTAATGGGAACTACAGAGTATGCTCTAACTTGGTGGTTTCTGAATTATAGCCTATAATTAACTCAAAGCAAGTAACCGTATTCCAAAATATGAAGAAGAATCTAGGGGTAGGATCCCCAGAGTAGGCCTTATGCTGTGGCTCGCCAGCAGCCAGTAGATCTAGCAGCAGATTTGGACAGTAAAGAGGTTGGGGAGGAACATGGAGTCTGGGGAAGGCTCTGATGAGGGCTCTGCGTCAGAGGCAGAGAGGGGGCCAAAGCCATCTGACAGTTATCAGATGCCTTTGGAGTTGGAGATAAGTGGGGCTGAAGAATAGCTGGAGCCTGTTCCCAAAGTGCGCATGCGCAGAGTTGCCAGACAAAGGGAACAGCTAACTTGGCTGACTTGGGAGTAAGGCCACATGTGGATGATGAATGACCCCTCCCAGAGGAAATAAAAGAGGTGTGAAAGGAGAGTGGAGTTTGCAGGAGACGATTAGTTTGCTTAAATGTAAGCAACAACGCATGCGTCCCACCTCCCCATGCATGTGGGCACACCCCCAGCATGCACCCCGCCTCCCGCATATGTGCAGCAGAGCCCCAAAGACTAGCTGGCTGTGGGAAGTGCACATGCATGCGTGGTGGAGCTAGGCTGGAGCGATGGCTGGTGTGCCCGCAGAGAGGGCTCTGCATGCCACTTATGGCGTGCCATAGGCTTGCTATCATGTCCCTACACTTTAAAAACAGTGACTTGGAACTTTTTGCAATGAAGCCCTCAATGAACCATATGAAAATGAGCAAGGCTGTCAACCCTAAGAAAATGGAGCATCTTAACTTTATCTTAAGACATATGAAGCACCTAAAATCACATGTCAAATTCATGTTATGGCTATTTGTGACATTTCTGCATGAGAACCCCTGTGATTTATGTAACACAAAGTGAGCAAAGCAGTAGCAGTTGTTGCAAAGTTTAAAAAAAAACCATGAACAGTATTCACTCACAGAAATAACTCTCAAATAATAGAAATGGCACCCAACTTATCCAAGAGCCTAAAGATTCAAGTGTCTGAAGCTGTTCCACAATAAACCAGAAAATGTCAAATCTACTTCTAATAATGTTAAAATGTTCCATTCTAGTCACAACACAAGACACAATATCTATCCCCCTTCTCTTCATTGCTAAATTTGGAAATGAATCTCCATAGTCACAAGTTTCATCTCTCAAGATTACTTGAGAGGAAAGAGATCTATATTTAAAATGATGACCTCCAAAGAAAGAATAAGCAAAACACAAAATTAGATAAAGATCCTCTGGTGTTTCTTGAATAGAGCCGTCAGCTGAAATAAAATTTGGAGATTTTCTTCCCAAGAAATGTGTGCATGCATTACATCTGTATATGCACATATATTAAAAATATCCTTACCCAAAACTGAATCCATAACTTAATTGCTGATTAAAATTTATTTATTCTAAATTAAGGTATCTCGTTTATAAAAATAATTTCACACTTTCACACTTACAACTGTTGCAGCATCCCCATAATCACATGATCAAAATTTGGGCGCTTGACAACTGGCATGTATTTATCACTGGCATATACTAAGAACCGCGGTGGCGCAGTGGTTAGAGTGCAGTACTGCAGGCTACTTTTGCTGACTGCCAGCAATTTGGCAGTTCGAATCTCACCAGGCTCACGATAGACTCATCCTTCCATCCTTCTGAGGTGGGTATAATGAAGACCCAGATTGTTGGGTGCAATAGGCTGACTATGTAAACCGCTTAGCGGGGGCTGTAAAGTATATAAGTGCTATTGCTATCACAACTGCAGTGTCCCAGGGTCAACCATTTGTAATTTTCCCAGCTAGCTTCCGACAACCAAAGGGAATGGGGGGAGCCAGATTCACTTAACAACTGCATGATTCACTCAACAACTGTGGGCAAAAAATCATAAAATGGGACACAACCCACTTAACAACTGTCTTTATTTAGCAAGAGAAATTTGGGCCTCAGTTGTGGTTGTACGTTGGCAACACCTTGTAAATCTAAGTCAGGGGTCGGCAACCTTAAACACTCAAAGAGCCACAAAGGTCCTAACCGGAAGCTCCCCATTCAATTCTGGAGTCGACCGGAAGTCCGCTTCCCCCACCATAGCGCGGCATCCTTTTTTCCTCTACCTGTCCTAACTGAAAGCCCTATCAATTGTGGAGCTGACCGGAAAAGCCATCCCTTGAGATAGAGTCTCCTCCTGGCGCGCTCTGCTTGCCCCGTTCCTAATCGGAAGCTCCTCTCAAAATTGTGGTGCTGACTGGAGACAGGGAGCCACAGCAGAGGGATAAAAGAGCCACATGCGGCTCCAAAGCCACAATTTGCTGACCCCTGATGTAGGTGAACAGCAGTTAAATTTAGGCAAGGCTAGGACTGCAGAATTAAATGCTTGAGCATATTCATTTCAGGATTTTGTCTTTGGAATCAGACCTGGAGTTGGAATGCACATTTTTTTCACATACAAACCGATTCACTTGCTTCACTCACAGCTTCTACATTTTCCTGAACTACGGCTAACCTTTGACATATGCACCAAGGAGAGAAATGTAAAATGATAGAACAAGAGCTTCTTGACTTCGCTGTTCTGTGATCCACAACTCAGCAGACCAAGTCACTATTTCAAGGCAAATGCTACACCAAAGTCGAAAGAATACTTTCTTATAGTTTGAATTTGATTGATGGCACAAATGCCAATGGAATTAGATATTAATCAATATATTCTCTGTAACAAAAATGATATATCTCTACCAATTTAAAACAATGTTTACTAGAACACAACATTAGATAAAATAGCAATAGCACTTAGACTTATATACCACTTCACAGTGCTTTCCAGCCCTCTCTAAGCAGTTTACAGAGTCAGCCTATTGCCCCCAACAATCTGGGTCCTAATTTTACTGACCTCGGAAGGATGGAAGGCTGAGTCAACCTTGAGCCTGGTGAGATTCGAACTGTCAAATTGCAGACAGCCAGCAGACAGCAGAAGTAGGTTGCAGTACTGCATTCCAACCACCGCACCACTACGGCTTCTATAATAATATGTGCAGGAGGATAAAAAGATCAGTTTGGGGATTTTTAATTCTTTGGTTTTACACAGAGGATTAAACAGAGAGAGCTAGATTTCTTTAGGCAATCAGTTTTGCAATATAGGTGAATCAAGTAGTTTTCTCTGTGATCATACTAGAGATGTGACTGAAAGTATGCCTGGGAGGCCAATTCACAAGAACAAAGGCAAGTTTACATGCATGTAATTGATGTCATAATCTGCTCTCAAACCATGCTAGATTTTTTTTTAAAAATCCTTCCAGACTTTTAGTTGAGTCCAGAAACTGATCATAAATCAGTACAACCGATACAAAATTCAAGTATTATATACTGTACAGCATTGACTTTCCAACTCAAAATAAGTGATCTTTCACAATAAAATATACTGTTTAAAGTATAAGATATACTGGAAAATTATGCTGCTTTGATGGAAATGAACACATTTTACACTTGCAAGATCTCAAGAATGAACCATTTATGTTGCAATAAACATTTGGTAATTTGGGAAATTCCTTCCCCCAGGAGTTATTGCTAATACAAAACCAGCAATTCTAAATAAGATAACAGCCCAAATACCAACGCCAGAGCTTCCTCAAAGTCAGCCAAGGCATAACATAGCAAGCATCTATGTAACTTCCTTCTACTGAGTTCCTAGTTCAAGTAACTATAAATGTTTTGTAGACTTCACTGAAACCATAAGCAGGAAACAATTAACAGTGGAGCAATTATGTTAGGCTAGTAACATGAACCTTCAGTCAGGGGTGTGTGTGTAATACATTAAAATTCTCCTCCCTTTTATTGTTCATTTAAAGGTCATCATTCTTAGCATTCATCATTCTTTTTCATAATAACCCATTTTCCACTCTTGAAATTATCTTTTTCCATTACTTTGTCATTCTCTAAAAGTTTATATATATACTTCACACATATAGTATCTGAAACACTCTTACTCAGTTGGTTTCCTCTTATATGTTTTTTTCTCATATCCTGCATGATGTCATCTTGAGAATTTTTAAAAAAATATCCTGTATACACTTACAAAGAGAACTGGATCCTTCACCCAATGGCAAAATCTTCTCCTTCATCCAAGCAGGCTCTCCCCACCTGATTTCCAAACACTCTTTCTAGCCACCCACACACAACCCGCGTCCCCCCAAAATACATAAGACAAAATGCAAAAATTAACCCCCTAGGTTTAACACAACTCCTTCAGCCTCTCTTTCTCAACCTTGGGTCCCCAGATGTTCTCGAGCCATCATTCCAAACCAAGCCACCATGACGGAAGATTAAGACTGTAGCTTGTAGCCCGCCCCCCCCCCCATGTCTTTTCACCCAACTAGTCCTCGACTTACAACAGGTTGTTCAGCGGACGTTCAAAGTCACACCGGCACTGAAAAAAAGCTACTTAAGGCCACTTTTCACACTTACACCTGTTGCCGCATGCCTGAATCATGTGTGACAAACCTTTTGCGACCTTCAGCAAAGTCAATGGGGAAGACAGATTCACTTAACAACCTAATTTAACACCAAGAAAAGCTGTAAAACGGGACCAAACTGAATCAATTTCTCACTTAGCAACGTAATGGTCGCAAGTGGAGGACCACCTGGAGAGTCAGCTGCCTTTCCTCGACCCAATTCCCACCCCACTCCTTCCATGTTTTGTCCAACTGCTCCTCTGCCTGCTTGCAACGTCAGGATGCGGGAGGAAAGCGTGCTTTTTGAAAGAGAAAAGCGCCTCTGGGCAAGTACAGAGTGCCTTCCTGTCGCGAAGGCAAAAGCCCGAAGACATATGGCGGCTTTTCGGGAAAGCCAAACGCCCAGCCCTCTCCCCTTTCCAGGTACAGAGCCCCGTCGCCCCCTCGCTGAGCCTCCCCGCCTCCCTCCCTCCATCACAAGTCCCAGGCAGCCGCACCGAGGACCGTTACCGTCCCCATCCGTCAAACGCTCTCCCCATCCGTCAAACGCCAATGAGAATGCGCAGGCGCCGTGGTTTGGCGCGGGGGCGAAGTGGGTGGGGCAGGGAGAAAAAAAAACAGAAAGTGGGCGGGGCAGACCAAAACAAACTTGAGGGAAGGTGGAAGAAAGGGTAAGCGCGTCTGCGCCCAGAGCTTAAAAGGACTGGTTTGCGCATGCGGTTGTTTTTGGTGCCCTTAGCGGCTCCTTACCGTTCTCTGTGTGTGTGAGAGAGAGGGGGGG